ATCCTGTCTCAGCTCAGCGGCGCAGACAGGCGAGTTGCCATGACAATCCTGCTAGGCCTGGTTGGAGTCTAAATACCACAGAGAGAGGAACCGCTGTCACTACCTGACCCCTGAGCAGCTTGGCAGTGCCCTCCTTGCCCCTGCAGCCAGCCACCCCTCCTGGACCCACCTCAGCTGCCCAGTCCTTGCAACTAGGGGGCACAGGCACCAATTGAAGGGCATTTAGGGTCAGTGGCTCAGCCTGTTTGATGGTCAATCTCCTCTTCTGTCCCAGAACGTGCTGTTCATGCTGGGTCATATTCAAGTCTTCCTGGACACCCACAGTCCTTCAAGCCTGGCCTTTGTCTCTCTGAATAGAGGAAATACTAGATATTTACCAAAAAGTTGCACTAGGAAACAGAATAAAATCTGGAATAAATCTTATTTTCTTTCCAGCCAGGCATAATCTGAAACATTTTCACAAGGGAGACCTGTCACAGTGTCGGTCAATCAGCAATTGATCAATCCCTGCAACTGCCTAGATGCAATTCTATCCTTTCACATGGACACACTCATGGTGTTTGTGGCAGACTATACTTTCTAAAGATGGTGGCAACCCTGTCTCCCATCCCATGTGACAATGTGACTCAATGCTCACATTGAGGCATGGGTCTCTATTCCTTGAACCTGGGCCGGCTGTGTCTGAAGCAAAGTAATGACATGAGATTTCTGAGGTTAGGTCATAAAAGGTAACACAGCTTATATCTGGTTCTCTTGGGATGCTTGCTCTTGGGATCCAAACCTCATGTTGTGAGGAACCCCAAGCAGCCACATGGAGGGACCACATATAGGTGTTCCAGAGAACAGCCTAGTTGAGGTCCTGACTGACAGGCAGCATCGAACACCAGACATGAGGCGAAGGCGCCTTCAAATGATTTCGGCCCCACAGCTGACATCACCCCTGGTCTTTGAGTCATCTCAGTGGAACATGAAGCAGAAACAAGCTGTCCCCACAGTGCCCTTTCTGAATTCTCAACCAACAGGAGGCATACAAAAAACTAAATAGTGATTGTTCTATGCCAAAAAGTTTGCAGTGATTTATTACCCAGCAATAGTAACTGGAACTATATTTTCTTCCTAGGCTGTCCTTTCTCTATTCTGCTCCTGGGGACTCTTACTCTCCCCTCAAGGAATAATTCAACTGTTACCCTTCAGGTGCACATTTTTCTTCTCTTGGGTGAGAGGCAGTGCAACAGAGCAGTAAAGCACTGGACTCTGGAGTCAGCCTGCCTGGGTTCAACTCCTGGCTCCATGGCTTACTTGATAAACTTATGATTTGTGACCTTGGATGAGCTGCTTATCTTCCCTGTGCCTCAATTTCCATATCTGTAAATGAGGATGAGAATAATAGTACATACTTCATAGGTGAGGAGTGAGTTGGAAAGCACTTAGAACAGTGCTTGCCACTTAGCACAATTTAAGTGTTGGTTATGTCTCATTCTTCTGGGACCCTTTCCAACTATAATCAAAATCCCAAATGAACTCATTCTCTAGAATTTCTCAAGACTCTGTATCTTCTGGGCTCAGACAGGACCACGAACATGACTCCAGATAACAAGAGTATTCACTGGTCTAGAGCTACACTCCAGCCATCAAAACTACACAGCATCTGGAGAAGACCAGGGGGAAGGAGCCGCCCTTGACGGAAAGCATCTTGTCCTTGGGTGTGTGATGCTCCACTGTCTGCCGCCAACATTTTTGTTCAGCCATCAGAGGACTGTAAAGAAATGTATATGGGTTTAATTACATTAAGTTTCAGAACCATTCTGAGTATAAGGACGGACTGCTGGGAAACTGTAACCCACATCACCACATGGTCACACTGCTGCTGCTGCTGCTGCTTCTTCCCCCTCCTCCTCCTCCTCCTCTTTTTCTTCTTCCTTTTTAGGCTTCAAGTCAAATGTGTTTCCATGCTGATCAGCTCTTGGAACCCTAAAGTCTGTGGGAGAATTAGGATTTATAAATAAAAACCTATGTTTTTAAAAGCTCTATACTGAAATTGAACATTGTAATTTAGTCTTACTGGAGGACATTGAGGCAGAATTCGTCTTCTTACTGATTCTGCCATATGGCCATTTAAGTTTTCTATTCTAATTAGCAATGGGATCTCAAAGTTCAAAATTTCCTAAAGTTCATTTGATCTATTCCCCATCTAATGCTCAACAAACTTTCATAAAATCTCTACCAATTTTAAAATATGCTAAATTCTCACAACTTTAGAAAAACGGAAGAAAGCCAAGGGTAATTTAATTAGAAGTCTAAACTCAAATCAATTTTTAATTTCAAATATAAGGTATGTTATGAGCTAAGAGATAGCATAAAGGAATGTAAAATATAAACTAATCAGCAATGAAGAATGTATCATTCTGCAAGCAGCCAACCAAACAGGACATATCACAAACAGTGTAAGAACTAATTGAAGGGCCTAAAGGCGGGAACACATGAAAAAGATACTTTCCAATAAATCCTTGGTTTGAAACCTACTCCTTCTAAGATGGTTCTCTTTTGTTGGCCATGGCTTTAGAAATTCAGAAGTGAACATTTATTACATCAGCTTTGGTCTGAATTAGAGGAGCAAGGATTACAGAATGGTAGCACTAAAGGGAGATAATGGGGGCTATCTTTGTTCCAGGGAGAAACAGAAGTCCCAGAGAGGCTGATATCAGTGCCCCAGGGTCCAGGGAGGTCTCTGAAGGATGACATTAGAAATGCTGGGAAGCTCGAGCTCAGCTCCCTAAAGGAGACCTTGTTGAGTCGCTTGAGAACTGGACTGGTCCTTGTGAATTAGCAGCACTCCATAGTGACAAAATCAAGTAAGATGATACCTCCCAGACCCAGCTGGCAATCAGGAGATGTGTGCTGTGTGACAGCAGACAAAGCATGTTTTGCTTTGATTCAGTTCAGCCGTAGCGTCTGCTAAGGATTTCATTGACTCAAGGTTGCCATTATGGACCAGGAGAGTTTTGGCACTAGGGGCAAAGTTAGACTGAATGGCTGAGTCCTCAGGCCTCACAGACCACAGTGTGTGATAGGATCACTTACCAATTTTCCTCTTAGTGATAGAGGAATTCCAACAGAAGAGTAAAAACACATTTGTCTTACAGAATCAAAGAAACAGAATGGCTGAGAGCACAGGCTCTGTGGGCACACTGCTGAGATCTAAATCTTGGCCCTTACTAGTTGAGTGAACTTGTGTAATCTCTCTGTGTTTATTTTCTCAATTGTAAAATGGAGATAATTATAGTATTATCACATGGGGTTATCATAAAGATCAAGTGAGGAAATACACTGAAAAAGTCAACATGAATCCTGTTAGGAATCAGACTGCGGTGTTTAATTTATAATGGAATGTCAACACAATACTTCTAACAGAACACACCCAAGGTCACACCCCAGCTACAAAATGACTAACAGTTCCTTCATCTGAGTGATTTCTGCTCCCTCACCATCATCATCCCCAATCTCACTTTTTCCTTCGTTCCTCCAGAACAAAATTATTGAGACGCCCAAATGCTGAATTGTCCTTGATGGCATCCATTCCAAAACAAGTCCCTGTTTTCCTGATGCCACCCAGCATAAGTCTAAATCTTATAACTCGTTTGTATAGAGACATCCTCAGGTGTATGCTCTCTCTTGCTGCAGCAAGCTAATTAAACTTAACCTTGTTTGAGTTTGGGCGTGCCCCTGGTGGTCTCTGATTAATGGGCTTCCACAATACTCAGCACATATAATAGCATACTATACGCACAAGAAATGCTAGCCACTGGCAGTAGTAGGCAAGCCTTTTTATTCCCAGCTTCTTGCATACAGCACACCTCAAGACATGCTTTTTCAATATAGGGCTATTCTCAAATAACTGGGAAGCCAGGCTAAGATGAGAAAACAAAGCAAACATTTAGAGACTGTGCTTTGTTTTCTAATTTTTATTTTTAGAGAACAGTCCAAGTAGTTACCAGGAATTGACCATTGCCTGGACTTTTTAAGCTAGGGTAGCCAGATCTTGAATAAAAGAGGGTCTTGAAATAGCTAAACTTTTAAGTTTTTATTTCTGAATTTCTAAAAACACACATTTGACCAAGAAGGAAACAAACTTTTGGAGTAATAGAATGAATGCCCAAGATACATCCATGGTGATTAGGTTTATTTGCACCTAAGGTGTATTAGGTATCTATTTAGTGACTCAAAATGAGAGTAATCATTTATTCTCTGTGGCAGTTTCTTCTGGTCAGGAACCCATGAGTTCCTTGGCTGGGTGGTTCAGGCTCAAAGTTTTTCATGAATTGCAATCATCTGAAAGGTTGCCTGGGACCGGAGGATCCCCTTCCTAGGTGGTTCACTCCTAGCTGGAAAATTGGTTCCTCTTCGCATGGGCCTCTCCACAGGGCTGTTTGAGCGTCTGCAGGACATGACCGCTGGCTTTCCCCATAGGGAGCCGTCCAAGAGCCCAAGACACAGTAGCAATACCTTTTATGATCCACCCCTGGAAGTCACACATCATCAACTTGGCCATATTCTACTAGTACATTCCAACCCTGTTTCAGTGCCGACCCTGCCCATCTGCTGGATGTGCTATTTTGGACCAGCACCAAAACTCTAAGTCTGTGTGCCCTCATTTATAATATAAAAATAACAACCTCCCTTCAGGGCTGTTTTGAACGTAAGCCAATGTAAGATTATCAAGCGCTGCTTAGTACAATGAGCTGCCCCACAACAGACATTACTTAGAAGTGATTTCGTTTCCTTAGGAAGCCTGTCCCTAGTTCGCCTCATTCTCCTGAAGTTTAAACTCCGAGCATCCTTTTTTTTTCCACCCCTGGAGAGCCGAGTCAGTCAGACCCCACCCTCCCCAGCCGACTCGATCCCGACGTAGGACTCTTCAGGAGGCGGAACTCTAGTTCCCGGGGCTCACCTCGGCACCGGCGCGCTTTGCGAAAGGACCGGAAGTGGCTCCTTTAGCTCTTCGTCCGAAAGGGCAGTGGGGGGTGGCCGGCTGGACGGTTCAGGAGGGCTCTGCGGACTGGGTCGCCGGCGCTGGGACACCCTGAAAGCGGAGCGGCGGGGCGCCCGGAGGTGAAGGGGTTGCGCCCTTCCGGCCTAGTCATGCTCGGTTGGAGGCTGCTGGCTCGGACCGGCGCCCGGGTGCTGGACCGCGGCGCGGGCGGCCTGGGCGCTGCCCGGGGCTCGGAGAACAGGTGGGTGCGGAGGACAGACGAGGGTGCGGCGTGGTGCCTGCACCTGTGGCCTCGGGCTGTGGCCTGGCCCGGCGTGGGGTAGGAGGGGGTTCCGTGCAGGCCTGAAGAGTAAGAATCATTGCTCTAAGGACGTGCCCTTTGAAGGATTGGAGGTGTGGTTTTTTTTTGCTTTTTAATGCTGATGAGCATTAAAACAAGCATTACCAACAGCAATAATATTATCTGCCAATTAGTGAGCGTTTACTGTGTAATGTTCTTTTAGGAACATTAGTCTCCTTACGTCATGTAGCCTCACCTTAGAGCTGCTATCATCCGTTTTACAGATACCATCATTTTCCCGTCCTATCATTATTCTGCTTTGCAGGTAAAAGGGAAGCTTAGAGAAAAGTGATTTGCCCAAGGTCACTTAACTAATAAGTGAAAAATTGGGACTCTAGCCTGGATGTATCTACCTGCATACAAAAGAGATAGATCGCAGGAAGATTTACTTCTTTTCTGACCCTCCTGGCAAGAATTACACATCTCTTTCCTGACCTCCATCCTGTAAGGTCTCTCTTGGTGTGTTCAGCTAGTCACAGGTCATGTCTTTTATGGATTTTAGAATTTGCACACCCAGTTTCTTCACCACTCTGAGCCAAGGCCATGTCATTACAGGGGTTTATCAGAGAAAGATCAGTAACCCCACATTTTGTCACCTCTACTGGATGTAAACTGTTAACGTACATGTTCTAATGGACCTGTGGCTTCTCTTGTCTACATAGGACTACTCTGTTAGAAATCTGTTTATCCCAGAGGAGAAGAGGAAGAACTTTTCCTCCAGGGTAACTATTAACAGTTGAAATATGAGCCCCATTATTATCATGAGGAATGTCAGGGAAAAAACTAGAACAGAATCCAAACCCTTTCCAAAGGCCCTGACTACACTTTCCAACTCATGTGACCTCCCTTCTGTACATTAAGTGGGGAACCTTTTGAATTGTGCTTTGTTTTCTAATTTTTATTTTTACAGAACAGACATCTGGCTTTTGGTTAGAAGTCTTCATGGCAAGAGTGGTACTTGGTGGGATGAGCATCTTTCTGAAGAAAATGTTCCCTTTGTTAAGCAGTTGGTCTCTGATGAAAATAAAGCCCAAGTAGCAAGTAAACTCTGTCCTCTGAAAGATGAGCCGTGGCCTATACATCCTTGGGAACCAGGTGGTTATTTTGTATATGTTGTGTTCTCATCGCCTAATTACTGTCTGGCTGGCACGTTAAAAATCGTAGTGACTTCTGAATCAATTTATCATCTCTTTAATTTATTTTTCATGTCTTAAGTGTGTCTATTTCATTGTGGTTTGCAAGTATATTTCCAGCATTCTAGTCTACTGTTAGTGAATGTCTGATGATCATCAAGACTTCCTCAAGAAACTGCTTTGTAGGTGAAAAGAGAATTGTTCTGCAAACGTTTTCTTGTTTTCTTCAGATGAAAAATAATATAAAATAAATCAGGGAAGAAAAACTGGAAGAGTGTGATCTAAACTGTAATGTATCACACAGACGTTTGTAGCTGGGGTATTCTGCCACTCCACGCCTGCCAAGCATAACCCTAGAATCAGCTCTATGTGCCTGGTAGAGTGCTAAATCCATGTGTGGCCAGACCAAAAAGCATAAGGCCTTTCCTGTTCATGGAGTTGCCGTTGGTTGGGGGTTATTGTGGCTGTTGAATTGTTTAATGGCTAGAATTCTTAGTGGAGCAACTTTATCAATTTATGCAACAAATCTAAGTGTCATGGTGGATGCTGACATATTTTAGCAACATGACCACTTGTGTCATCTCAATAACTCCAGCTAACTTCTTAGAATTTGAGTAGTAGATGTTCCCTAATTAATGAGGTTGGATATGAATTGATATTAGGAAAGCAAAGCATAATGATGGATTTATCATGCCCTCTATTAATACCACTATTTTAAATACCAGAATATATCAGTGTAACTATTTTCTTTATTTTGTACGGTTTTCTTATATTTTTTATTTTACAGAGATTTATTGAGTACCAGTATATTATGTCAGGCATGGCTGAAGGCATTTATATCTGGAAGGAACAGTTGTATTTTACAGTATGAATATATCAGCATGTTTCTTATCTGCTTGCTCCTTATATGAAAGCAAAATTTAGGAAATACCGTGTTGACAAATGTTGAAAAGTCTGTGTGAGTATTGATTTGTTTTTAATTGCCAGGTTCCTCTAGAGTAGGCCTTATTGCAATGAAGTTAGGCATGATGCCCTTATGGACCAAAGATGGTCAGAAGCATGTGGTCACATTACTTCAGGTAAGAAACAGAAGATGTAACAAATCTATGTGTGTGCTGAGATCTATTTGTGCAAACCTAAATGGGCAATATTTGTATCCTGAAACATTTGACTGTGGTGAAGAAGAGGTAAAGTTGAGCATAGATACTGTAAAAGAGCTTTACTTCTGATGGTGTCAGTGAATGTTCTCACTCATGCCTGAGTGGTGGCTTTCTTTATACTGACATTGGGATAACTGGGGCAATTAATTAAAAAAAAAAATTGTAACCTAGCTTCTTACAGATCTACTAGTTTAATTCATAATCAGAAAAAATCTCAGTCCCATCTTATTTTCATTTATGGAGTTCTTTCAATTCAAAATTGTAATTTTGATCTCTTTACTAACTCAGAATGTAACACTTTTGTCTGGGGAAGTAGCATTTTGTTCTCTGAGATAAGGTTAAGCCCTAATGCTTAAGAATATAGGCCCTGGAACCAGAATACCTCAAATGTTGGTTCTGCCATTTTTTAGCTGTGTTCCTTGGAACACTGTGTCTTATCTGTAAAAGAATAATTTTATTCTGTAGGAGAAATCACTATGATCTCCCTCAAAGGGTTATTGTGAGGCTTGCACAAGATTCTAAATGTCAAGCACTTAAAATTTAAAACAATAGTAAATGTCCAATAAATGTTAGCTGTTATTGTCTTTATCATTATTATAAAAAGATCACTGATAAAGTTGAGACCTTCATTGCCCAGACCACTTTGAACAGCTCAGTTCATATTGGAGTCAGGCCTTAGACAAGCGTTTAGGGAGGTGATGGGGAGTAAAATGAGACCTCATGCATGTAAGTGCTTCCAGTGTTGACAGGCACAGGTGGCCTGTAAGCCCTTAGTAATTTTTTACTGACTCTGAATGATCAAGGAAAGGAGTATAGTTTCTGGAACTCTACAGAACTTTGGGAGCTTTTAGGAATGATGGGTGGGATTGTAAATTGGTACAGCTGCTTCAGGAAATAGTTTAGCATTATGGAAAAGTTGAGGTACGTGAACCAGTGGTCTCCCAGTTCCACTCCTGAGTGTTACTAGAAAATGTGAACAGATGATTTATAGCAGCATTACTCTTAATACTCCAAAAGTAGAAATAACTCCCATGTCCATCATGGTAGAATGGGTAAATAAATCATGGTGTATTTACATGATGGAGTGCTGGGTGACAGTGAAAATGGACAGAATAGAGCCGCACACAACAGTATGGGAGAACCTTACCTATAGAATCTTGAGTGAAAGCAGGAAAATATGGAGGAGTATATGTGGTCTGACTCCATTTACATAAAGGTTCAACAGGCAGCACTGAACTATAGGATTAAACAATACTTTCAAAGGTAGTAATTATAATGAAAAGTTAAATGATTACCATAAATGTCAAGAGAGGTGGTTATTTCTAGGACAGTTCTTCTCAGACTTTACCTCAGAATCACCTGGAGGGCTTATAAAACAGAGGTTCTGATTTAGTAGGTCTTGGCTGAGGCCTGAGAACCTGCATTTTCACAGAGTTCCCAGGTGACTGATGCTGCTTGCCTGGGGACCACACTTCGAGAGCCACTGCTCTAGGGGTAAAAAGGGTGGGGAGGAGGAATGGGTATGAGGGGGGAATTGGGAAGAGACACAGAGGTTTGGGGGATTTTTGACATGTGTAGTGGTTACATGCATATTTTCTTTATAAATACTCATTTTGTTGTATATTTGTGTTTTATGCACTTTTCTGTTTGTGTTATATTCAGTATTTGACAGTGTTTTTTTAAGAGTGTGGTTGGTATGGTGAGATAAGATGGATTGGATGGGCCTCAGTGTGGCTGGTATGTAATGTTAGCATGTGTCCTGGCACATACTTAGTTTTTTTATGTTTGTTTTTTTAGGTACGAGACTGTCACGTCCTAAAATATACTCCAAAGGAAAATCATAATGGAAAAATGGCAGCCCTGACTGTAGGAGGAAAAACTGTATCACGTTTCCATGTAAGGGCGCACTTTCATTCCTAGAATAGTGCATTTCACTAGTTTTAGACCTGAATTCTTTGAGATTCTGAATTCTTTTAAGTTTTGAGGATATCCCATAGCCACAGACTTGTCCAGGAGGTGAACTGTGGATTTGGAGGGAGGCAGTCTGATAGAGCTACTGACCGCAGGAGTCTGGGAGACTTTGAGTTTGCTGTCTGGAACACTGTCTGGAACAAGTAACTTCACCTTCTAAGCTTCAGTATTTGCCCAGATGTAAAATGTGGATAAAAATACTACTTACCTAATAAGAGGTTTGGTACCAGGGTTACGTGAGACTTTTCACATGTGCCTGGCATGTAACAGACACTCAAAAGATGGTAGCTATTTGATTATTTTGTGGTTGTTTTATGTTTATTTTCATTTTTTTTTCTAAATTGTCTCAACTCTTGACTCCAACAGCATGTGAGGATTAATTTTTCATATATTAGAAGTTTTCAGTGTTGGGAAGAAAGCTGTGTATGAAGTCACATCAGATTTTTCTGAATAAAGTGTATTTCCCAAGTAGAATACTAATAGAATGCTGAGTTTGTAGTTTAAATGTGAAAAAAAGTCTGCACAATTAGTATTTTGGGGGGGTTGGGGATGACTGAAAGCAGAGAATGCCTTTCTAGAAATGGTGATGGTTTTCACTAATGGCTGCTAAAACATCTTTAGGTTTACTAAAATGTTGCTTGTCTCTAGATTAACATTTTTCCATTATAAATTATTTATGAAATGAACATGAATGAAAGTTAGGAGACAACCTGTTCTGTGCAGCTGTCAAAACTAACAAGTGTTTATCGATTGCCTCCTATTTCCTTGTCATAGTTAACTTTTGAGCACTTATTACATGCTGGGTATGTAGGCATTAAGTCTTTTACATTTATTAACTTACTTTTTCAGACTCTAAAGATAACGAAGTTAAGTAACTCCCTCAGGGACACCCACCAATAAGAGGTAGAGTGACAGACTCTGAAAGCCTTACTTTGTTAATTGTGTCTTGATATCCACCCTTTGGGAATACATAGGGAAGGTGGACTAATAAATTGACTATCTCAACACAGTACTATAAGTGCAACAAGCACATTGGCCAATTCTGCTTGTGGGAATCCTAGGAGGTTTCACAGGGAGGAGACCAGAAAGGAGGGTGGGTGCTAAAGGCATGCCAGGCAGAGTGGGCTCTGCAGAAGCAGATGCATGGAAGAGCATTGGTGCTTGGAAAGAGAAGGGCCGTATGTCTGGATCTTAGTGTGCAGTCGGGGAGAATGTGATAAAGGTGTGACAGGTGGGGTTGTCAGGATGGAGGGCTAACAAGTTTAGACCTCATCATGTAAACTTTGAGGAACTTTCTGAATTCTTTAACCAGGGCAGTGGTCAAATTGTTATCATGGTTAACTAAATTAGAAGATGCCAGGTGCAGGGAGGACGTTTAGGAGGTTGTTTTAAGCCCTCAGGGAGAGTTGATAAAAGTCTTTTGCCCCAGAGCAGTTGCATTGGGCTTGGAAGAGGCAGGGATTATAAAAAACCAGGTGAGTGTGAGTGTGTGGGAAGAGAACCCAGCAGGTCAGTGCTCATGCCATGACTTGGGACAGGGACAAGGAAAGGGATGCTTTGGAGGAAAGACGTGTTTAAAGTGTTTAAGAAAATCCAGGTGGAATTGTCCTATAAGTATATACTGATCAGCAAATTGGCGCTGATTGGAGTCCTGTGGTTTAATAGGCCTATCTCGTAAGTATTAGAGGACTTAGCTATTTTTGCATATTATGGTAGTATAGTTAGTTTATTTTTCATTAAGCCTTCATAGTAATATCTGCTATTCCTGACAGATTATTGCCTAATAATTACAGGGTTCAGATAATACCACAGTAATTAAAAGCACAATGTGATATTTTGGGAAACATTTTTTAAAAATGTCAAATGTTTGAATTTTTAAGTGTGTAAATATTTGCCCAACTTCCTGTGAATCCTGTGAACAGTTCTTCAGTTTGATAGACACCTCTGTTTTCTAATTGATTGTATTTCTGTGTTTTGTTAGGACTGTCATCTTTATTTCATTACTAATTTTGTAAATTTATGACTCTACAGCCTTGGTATTTGTAAGTCAGGTGTCCTGTTGGGATAATCCATTCTGCTTCAGCCTATTTGTGAACATTACTTCCTTGGGACTGCGGTAGTGGGAAATGAGTGGACCTGGGATCAGAAGAGCTGAGTTCTTCCATGGCTGCCAGTAGCTCCTTCACTCCACCTTTTTGAACAGCCATTTTCTTACCCATGAAGACAAGGAATTGGACTTGATGGTCTCTGAATTCTCTCCCAGTTCTAAGTCTCACATTGGTTCTCAAATATTTTAGTTTTTAAGAAAAAACAAAAGTTCCCCTCCAAAAATGAACTTGTCAGCTCAATTTATTCTATTTTACTTAGTGATAAAGATAATCTTATTGATGAAGTCTTATTAACATAATAACTAGGGCTTCCCTTGTGGCGCAGTGGTTGAGAGTCCGCCTGCCGATGCAGGGGATACGGGTTTGTGCCCCGGTCCGGGAAGATCCCACATGCCGCGGAGCGGCTGGGCCCGTGAGCCATGGCCGCTGAGCCTGCACGTCTGGAGCCTGTGCTCCGCAACGGGAGAGGCCACAACGAGAGGCCCGCGTACCGCAAAAAAATAAATAAATAACATAATAACTAAACTATTACAGAAACGATAGTACTTCTATTTCTACTTTGATATTTGAGACTCTGGTCTTCATACCTTAAGCTTTATCTCACCAATGAATATATAGCACAGCAGGGTGATTTGGATGCTGTATACTTATACTGTGGTGAATTTTAACCACTTATCTGACATAAACTTTTAAAACTGTTCACTACTCTGGTATAGAAGTGCTACAGAGGCCCTTTTATCCTTCAAGATATTATTTTTCTAGGACCAGAGGTCATGTATTATAATATTAAGAAAAAAGTTTTGTCTTTGAATGACTTTTCATCAGAATAGGATGTGAAAATGAAGTTCTAGAATTCTTTAAAAGTAAAGCATTTTGGTTCAGAAAGGAAAAAGATTTTTGAAACTAAAAGTATACAAACTTTCTCTTGCACATTGTAACCCTCAGGGAAACTGCAGGTAGATTGATTATAGAGGGTTTGAGAGAGAGAAGAGACACCTATGAATAGGTAATATTAAATAGTTAAGCATTCTAAAATGAGTTGATTGAATCAGTTTTATTTTTAATAGGGCTAGAATGTTATTTTTTTTTTAATCTGTAAAGAATTTATGCCTCCAAGAAACTAGACTGCTTTGCTTTTGCTATTTGTGTACCTTATAATAAATAAAAACTGATGTGGTACATAGTGTTTTTGAATAAGGAAGCTAAGTGGCCTTAAAGTTGGTTAAATCAATTCATCTTAGGAGCAGAGAAGCATTTTCATTGTGAGGAGGATAATTGCAGAGAACTCTGAAGAGGGAGGAAAAAATGCAACCTCACAGATAGGATTATCCAAGTGTGACTCTGCTGTCAGTCTTTTAAATTGCCTTTTGAAATCATTTATTTGGAAGTTAGAGGAAAAAAATCCCTTTGTTATACTGCTGTTGACTCAACTCAACTTGAACATCTGGTTTTTCTCAGGGCAGATACCCAATTAGTTTTATGATATTTTGATTTTAAAAGAAAAAAATTACTCACTTTTAGTGAAATTGGAAGATAATCAGGAAGTATGTATTACCTTTGTCCTTTTTATGTCTCAGTCTATAGTTACTTAGTCAAGATGTTTATCTTGTCCATTTTGTATTACTAAAAAAAGTACAGGATTTTTCTCATAAGCCTCCTGGAATACTTAAAAACCAATATTAATAAAATAATGTTTTTAAGTTACCAGGTGGAATATGTGAAGGTCAAAAATAAAATTGAAGTCTGTTCTAAAATTTAATAAATCTGAATCCAGTACATCAGGAAAATAATTTTAAGGATCCACATTTTTAAAATTTTTATTGAAGTTTAATTGACCTAAAACACTGTTAGTTCCAGATACACAACATAGTGATTCAGTATTTCTGTACGTTACAAAATGATCCTCACAGTTACCATCTGTCACCATACAAAGTTATTACATTATTGACTATATTCCCCATGCTGTACATTTCATCCTCCTGACTTACTTATTTTGTAACTGGAAGTTTACCTCTTAACCTCCCTCACTTACTTCACTCATCCCGTCCACCCCATCCTCCTGACAACCACCTGTTTGTTCACTGTATCTATGAATCTGTTTCTGTTTTGTTACCTTTGTTCATTTGTTTTTTAGATTCCACATATAAGTGAAATCACATGGTATTTGTCTTTCTCCATCTGACTTACTTCACTTTGCATAATATCCTCTAGACCCATCCATGTTGTAGCAGGCAAGATTTCTTTTTTTTTATGGCTGAGTAATATTCCATTGTGTGTGTGTGTGTGTGTGTGTGTGTGTATGTGTACACATATATACACAACTTTATCCATTCATCTAGCGTTGGATACTTAGGTCACTTTCATATCTTAACTGTTGTAAATAACACTGTGAGGAACATAGATGTGCATATATGTTTTCGTATTAGTGTTTTTGTTTTCTTTGGAAGAATACCCAGAAATAGAGTAACTAAATTATATGGTATTTCTATTTTTAATTTTTGAGGAACCTCCATACTGTTTTCTGTAGTGGCTGCACCAATTTACATATCTGCCAACCGTGTGCAAGGGTTCCCTTTTCTCCACATCCTCTCCAAAACTTGTTGTTTCTTGTCTTTTTGATAATAGCCATTCTGACAGGTGGGAGGCAATATCTCATTGTGGTTTTATTTGCATTTCCCTGATGATTAGTGATGTTGAGCATGTTTTTTCAAGTGTCTTGGTCATTTGTATGTCTTTGGAAAAATGTCTATTCTTGTCTTCTGCTTATTTGTTAATTGGGTTGTTGGGTTTCTTTTGCTGTCAAATTGTATGAATTCC